GTGCCTGGCTGGCTCAGTCTGTAGAGCATGCGACTCTCTATCTCAGGGTCGTGAATTCAAAGCCCCACGTTGGGCATAGAGAGTACCTTACAAAATAAATAAATAAATAAATAAATAAATAAATAAATAAATAAATAAACAAAACCCAACTTTCCGTATCTGATTGATCTATTGGTCCTCACAGTCAATGTCATCGGGGCGTAGGTTGTTCTTTAAGTCATTTTGCTTCCATCACTTATTTGTGATGATCTTGGAAAGCTTACTCAAGAGGAGTTCCTAAAATTAAAAAAAAAAAATGCTTGCTTTAAGTATTTCCAGCTTAGTTGAGATGGGCTGTAAAACCCATCTGCACAAGGAGCTTATTTAAACCAGGAATATGTTCCCAAGAAGCATTCCTAAGTACAGAAATATTTTTCCCATAGAAATCGCTTATTTGTAAATAATTTTTTTTTTTTGCTCCTAACTTATAAAGCCTCACATGGAAGATTTAGATGGAACCAAATAGAGGTTGGTGGTTAAAACAAGGTGGGAACGTAGCATTTTACAGTTTTGTTCACCCTCAAAGTTTAAAAAGGTGGAACGAGGGTCAAATCGGCAATGCGAAAATGCTATGTGGACACCGTATAGCTTTACCCCATTGCACCTTACCATCGATCAACAAATTTATCAGGACAAACACAAAAGCCTGAGACAGTCCTGGCCCCATTTCTTGTTATCATTGCCATCCCCAAGGACAAAACCTGGAAAACAGCTTGGGAACTGCTTCACGCACCGGTCAGTACATGCAAGAATTTCCTCTGGGTGCTGGCTTCTTTGCTGGACTGAGCTTCATGGAAAGGACCTCAGGGCCAGGTGAAGAGAAGCAGCTGGTGAAAACTGACCGACAGCTGGAGCAAAGACCTGAAAGGTTGCTTGAATGTCCTGGAACTTGCAGTGTGTGATTCCAAGTAGATACATTTATGACTCCCTTAAAAAAGGAGCAGAGATGAGCTGATGAATGGGGAAAATGATGTTTGTCAAAAAATATTCGTATCATTGTAGCTAAATAGGAGAGGTAAATGTATCTCTCTTAATCAGAAGCAACCTTTGGCTATCATTTAACTTGCTAGATAGATTAAAGGAAAAACTCAGCCCTGGTGGATATGTGATCTACATTTAATGCATTAGTCAGAGGTAGGTAAATGAGAAATTGTTTCCACTTGGTTTATATTTCACAAGGTAATAATGGAACACTTGAATCTGCTTGTGAGACCAGTTATATTTAGTAGTTGTATTTTTGGCCGTCCCTCCTGTAGGTCTTTACAAGTGCAGGCAAATGTAAAGATACTGTATGTACTGTACAAGAAAGGGAAACACTGCACAATTCTCTTTTTAGAGCAGGAAGGAAAGTGGCTTTTTCCCTTTGAAAATTGTGGCAGAGCAGTGCTTTTAAAATTATTCATGGTAGGGGACAAGTTTTTAAATTTTCCAATGCTTTGCAGACTGGCACTTTTGTAAAAATATAGTAAAAATGTTACACTGAGATCGGGTTGCTATAAAAGTTTCTCAGTACTTCCTGTCAATGTCTGTATGTGTTACTGCAGACTGGCAACGAAGGGTTCACAGTGATGCTGGTCTGGAGAGCACACTTTAATAGCACTAACCCAGGAGTTTCAGGCAGGAATCAATAGATTCTGATGCCATTTATCTGGGAGTTCGGGATTTTGCCCCGACTCTGGGCAGTGCATTTTTGTTGTCATTTTGTGGGATTTTTTGCTGTTACTGGTCCAACCAAGATGCTGTATGGAGTTGGTGCCATGTGTGCCTTGCTTGGGGCACCTCACTGAGGAGGCGAATGGGGCTGGGATCTCCCCTCCAGGCTTTCCTAGGTTTGTACAGTCTCTTGGCAGAAAGTAGCAAGAACCTCATTTTGATTTCGGTTCCTTGTGCTAACAAAAATCTTCATCATCACACTTTATTTCTTTACTGGATTTCAAGCTCCTGTGGGAAGGGATGTGGGTCTTGTATCATTGTGAGGAGAACAGTACGCATACAAATATCAAATGAATTCCAAATCCCAAGCTGATGAGAGCTAAGTGCAGTTGTTACTACTTAAAGAAGCACAGACTCTCATAGTGTGAGTATTTCCCCCTGAAATTTCTTTTTATTGATTCAGGACTGAAAGAGAGCTAGTTTTCAGACATCCTGGGGAGAGAAACTTCCTGAAGTTATGATACGCTGGCATACCCATCACGTCAGTGTGACCTATGGAATGGCCACAGTAGACATTAGATGTCAAGCCAAGTTTTGCTAACATTGTATCTCTAGTGAGGTTAAAATTAACCAAGGACACTGACTTCACCCAGAAACAGGTTTTTAAATAAATTATGGCTCCTGAAAGAATGTTATGAAGTGGGTCATGGACTTCTTTTTTTTTTTTATTATATATTAAAAAAAGAAAAGTATATATATATATATATATATATATATATTTTTTTTTATATATTATGTCATGGACTTCTAAAAAGGAACAGAACCTTAAGATGTCCGGGGAACACACGGGCCATGTTCCATGCTGGTGGACGAGGCCTGACCTCAGTCTGGACTCTGCCGAGTCTCCGGGGCAGGTCCCAGGTTGGAGACCACGATGTAGGGCCAGGCTGGTGTGGCTGAAGGGAAGCAAGAATATGGGCAGCCTGAACTTGCCAACCCATGGCGGGAACAACTTGAGCACATCTCAGATATTTACCAAAGTCAGAAGCAGAAGGACACACCCAAGGTGCCCAACTGAAGTCAGGAAAAATGAGGTCCTAGAAGCTTACTACCAAGACAAGAGGACAATACCTTTCAGTGGCAAGGGAGACAGGGAGGGCGCAGTTCTGTAACAGGGTTTTCCACCAGACTGTGTTAACCAGATACACCCATTATACCTTGGTTCCTGACGGTCTTCCCAGCTCCAAAAGACCACTGCTCTCCTTGGCCTTTGCAGGACTCATATACGGGGAATTGAAGAGGGGCGCAAACTAAATTTCTGCAGTAAGGAAGAACTTTGGACAAATCCATGAATTCCAGTCCTGTGTTGGCTTTATTGTGAGTGAGAAATGGTTAGGAGCTTGAGTTGCTGTTGTATGATTAGTGCGAAATATTGCCTGAGTCGAAGCCTTGTCAGGAATGCAAGATATAGGTGTTCCTGACATAGTCTGGGTTCTGTTCCAGCAGTGTGGGTTGTGACGACAGAAGCCCATGTAAGTGAGTTTGGTAGGGAGAATCCCACAGAGCAACAGGGCAGGAAGGACAGCCAGTTCCAGGAAGCTGCCTGGGCCTTGGACAGCCAAGAACTAAGGTTTGCAGCTGTGTCTCTCATGGTTCATAAAAGAGATGGTCTCATCGCTCACGATTTCACTGCCTCACTGCACACGTTTTCTCTTTTTCTCCCTGCCCCACTCAGTCTCTCTCCACCTCTGTCTCCCAGTCTTCTTCCTCCTGGCACACAAGGCTGCTCCCACCCCCAAAGGAAACTGCATCGTAGCTCATCAGTTCAAATTCCCAAGTAGAATCTGATTGGCTCAGCCCACACATGGCCCTTGAACACACGCCCCACTCCATCCAATCATCTGTGGCCAGCGCGAGAGGCCAGAGTGTCTGCCGCACCAATTCAAAATTTCTGGGAAGCGGGCGTGAGCACGGTGTGCCTTGAACCGTATCTATCGTATGTGGAGATTTTCACAGCTCAGGTGCACACCTGAGTGACCTTCCGCGATGGAAGAAGAATCTAGTTCAGAGCACCATATAATTAAGGTTAGAAATCTTATCAGTGAGCATCCTCACTGATAAAAATGTTAAGGAGTTCATTGGAGATAAGCGAAGACAAATGCCGGGTGGCACCCATGTCGCAGGGTAACCATCACACAAAGTTGCCCTCCTGAAATAGTTTTCTCGGTGGTCAGGTGGAAGATAAAAAGAAAAAAAAAGTTGCAGGTGCCCAGAGTAATTACCTTCGTGTGCAGGTTTGTTGCTGTTGATCTTTAAATAGCTGATAAGATACACATGTGGTATTTTAAAAATGCAGACCAGGGGCGCCTGGGCGGCTCAGTCGGTTGGGCCTCTGACTCTTGATTTTGGCTCAGGTCTTGAGCTCGCGGATCCTCAGAACAATCCCTGAGTGGGGCTCTGCTCAGCCGGGAGTAGGCTTGAGATTCTCTCCCTCTTCCTCTGCCCCTCCCCCACTCCCACCACTCTCTCTCTCTCTCTCTCTCTCTCTCTCAAATAAATAAATAAATCTTTTAAAAAATGCAGACCGGAAGTTCTGTGAGCTTTCCTGCAGTGTTTTGACGCCAAGAGGATGACAGGTCCTCTAAACCTTCCCTGGGTGCATTTTCAGCAACCCTTTTAGTCTGCAGTGGGTTAGCTCTGTAAAGCATTCTGCCTCAGCACTTCAACTTCAGGTTGCAAAGGTTGGATTTGGCATTGTCTCCTTCCTCCAGGTTCCATGATGACTTCCTTAATTTGTTGTTCTCTTTGTGCCTCGGGTAGTAAATTTCCATGGTGGTAGAAGTTGGCGCCCCCACTCTTAAGTGTCAGCCCGAAGGTCATCTCTGATTGTCTGGAACCACATGCACAGAATCCCAAGAGCTTTATCAAAAGTTAGTTTTATATTTACTGTAATGAAATATTGTTTTCCCTATGCCTATTATGACTTCTATAGGATATTATGTTTGTTAAGACACAGCCTGGGGCCAGGGAACAGAGTACCCAGACCCTCAGAAGCATAATCTGGTGATGGTTCTCATTGGTCAGATTGTGTTTGTGGTTTTCTAGCCATTATGTAAATGAAAACAGTGGGAAATCTTTGGAGGACCTCATGGTGACTATCAGGAAAGATAGTTTGGTATTGTAAATGGGTAATCCACTAAATTCATTTCTGGACCAATATGTATTGGAGACATTAAACTTATCTGCATTTCAAAGGTTAACGATACAGCTAAACTAAGCCAAGGGCAGTTTTGGCTTAAAAAAAGCGTGTGTTTCTGCAAGCACATATACTAAAATTGGGACAATACAGAGACGATTAGAGTGGCCCCTGCATGAGGATGACATGCAAATTCAGGAAATGTTCCATATTTTTATATAGTCAATAATATTGTAATAATGTTGTATGGTGACTGATGGTAACTACACTTCCTATGGTGAACAATGTGTAGAATTGTTGAGTCACTATGTTGTACACCTGAAACTAATATAACATTGTATGTCAACTATACTCCAATAATAAAAACTAAATAAATACAGAGAAGAGGAAATATTTCTTACAAGTTAATGATCACCAAGACCTAATGAAATGTGTAAATATACTGATCAATGCTATGAAAATCACAATAATAAAAGCAGTCAGACTTAAAGCTTTATTCCAATGACCTCAGTCATCAAGTTGAATATCCATGTGGGAAGAAGCAAGTACCATATAAAATGGATATTACTGGTGCTGTACCCATAGTTACTTATTGTTTACCCAGCGTTCCTTACTCCAGCTCAGGAAAAAAATAAGTAACTAAATATGGTGAAATAGTTTAAAAATGGTTCCAAACCATCTTCCTTACTGTACTCCTAAACCACCTCCAGATAATGAGACTTTCAATGTCAGTTTTTATGTTGAATGAGAGGCAGTGATAAAATGTTCTGACCAAAGGCATGTTCAAATGGATGAAACAAAATAGACTTTTTCAAATATTAACTGGAAAAGAATCTCTCTGCATAAAACCATTTAAAGAGGTTTATAAAGTTTAGGAATGTAAGCAAAGACACATGATGAGGGACAACCTCTTCAAAATTGTAATACCGCCTCCAAGTTCCTATTTGTAGATTGATGGTCCTAAGGAGATGCACAGTTAGATTAACAGAATCTTCAGTACCATTGTAGACCAACAGAGACCAGGAAGTTCAGCATCATCTATGTGACAGGCCAGAAAGCTATTAAATCCTTAAATACAGAGAGAATCAATTGTCACACTGAATTACTAACCTTGTGATTAATGATTGACTATCTGACAGCCACTTTTCTTTACAAGAGCGTCCTGTTTCACAGCATCCAGTCATATGTTTGGTCCTTCAGTGCACCTGCAGCCAACCTCACATTCTGTGTTTCCTCCCAAAAACTCTTTGGTCTCAAACTTTAGGCATAGTGGAAAGAGAATTTTTTGAATCTCTTCCCAAGGTTAAGCCAGGGATCTTCCAACATTATGCTTTCAAGAGAATCACCTTCCAAATTGACTATTTAAGAAACCCAGAGGGTCACATCTTAGTAATAGAGCTAAACTAGCTCAGAACAGAGGCTACTGCAGACCTACTCTTAAAGAGTTTTTCTAAAAGCCATGAAAAGATCAAACCCATCTGATCTTCCAGTAGCTTCACTGCTTCCAGAACAAAGCTAACGCTCTTTAAAGAAAGACAGCAAAGTTCAGATACTCAATAACCTAACATCCAATATTCAGCATCCAGTAAAAAATTCCTAGACATGCCAGGAATCAGGAAAACGTGACCCATAACCAGGAGAAAAAAAAGAGGCAATAGTCAATAAAAAAAAGATCCATCGATGACAGAGATGGTGGAATTAGTACACAAAACTTTGAATTATCTATTATAAATAAACTCAGCATATTTTTAAAAAATATTTTATTTATTTGACAGAGAGAGAGCACAAGCAGGGGGAGTGGCAGGCAGAGGGGAGAGGGAGAAGCAGGCTCCCCGCTGAGCAGAGAGCCTGACGTGGGGCTCCATCCCAGGACCCTGAGCCGAAGACAGATGCTTAACCAACTGTAGACTCAATATATTTAAGAATCTTTAATATGAATAGAATGGAAAGAGAATGAAGATACAAAAAGAACCAAATGAAATTTCTAAAGACAAAAATTAAATTGGTGAAATGAAAAAAAAATACACTGGATGGGATTAACTGCAGCTGAGACATAGGGAAAGAAAAGACCAGCGAACTTGTAGATGTAGCAATACAAACAGTTCAATCTGAAACATAGAAAAAAACATGGAAAAAAATGAACAAGACTTCAGTGACCTGGGGATAATATCAAGTGGTTTATTGTATGTATAATTGGAATCCCAGAAAACTGTGATTTAGTGGGAGGGGAGGTGAGGGAGACAGAAAAATATCTGAAGAAATAATGACTGAAAAATTCCAAATTTAATAAAAACTATGAACCTATAGATCTACAAACTTTAATTAATCCCAAGGAGCATAAACATACACAGAAAATCACAGCAAGGCACATTACAATTAAATTGCTGAAAAACAGTGATAAAGAGAAAATCTTAAAATCAGTCAGAGAAACAAGGCACATGATGTACAGAGGACCAAAGATAAGAGTGAAAGCAGATTTCTTTTCAGAAATGATGCAAGTCAGAAGACAATGGTATGGCATCTTTAAATTGCAGAGTGAAAAAGTAAAATCTGGGGTTGCCTGGGTGGCTCAGTCGTTAAGTGTCTGCCTTCAGCTCAGGTCATGAGCCCAGGGTCCTGGGATCGAGCCCTGCATTGGGCTCCCTGCTCAGCAGGGAACCTGCTTCTCCCTCTCGCACTCCCCCTGCTTGTGTTCCCTCTCTCACTGTGTCTCTCTCTGTCAAATAAATAAAATCTTAAAAAAAAAAGAGAAGAAAAAATAAAATCTGTCAACATAGGGTTCTCTATCCAGCAAAAATTTCCTTTAAGATGTTTAACTTAAGGGGTACCTAGCTGGCTCAGTCAGAAGAGCAGGCAACTCTTGATCTTGGGGTCATGAGTTCAAGCCCCACATGGGGTGTAGAGATTATTTAAATGAATAAAACTTTAAAATGAAATGAAATAAAATAAAATGTTCAACTTAAGGTGAAATAAAGACTTTTTACAATAAAAGCTGAGAGACTTTGTAATTGAATATCACTGAAATAATGTTAAAGGAAATTCTTTAGGCGGAAGAAAAAACCAGATGAAAACTTTGATCTACACAAGAGAATGAAGCACACAAGAAGTGGTAAATATGTGGGTAAATATGAAAGTATTTTATTTTCGTTAAAAAAATTCAACTATGTAAAGCAAAAATAAGCGAAATGTATGACAACAATAGCATAAAGGATGGAAGGGGAAAATGGAAGTATACTGTTATAAAGTTATTACATAGCATTCAAATATTATTTAAAGTAGACTTGGTAAGCTAAGGAGATATGTTATAAACATTAGCACAACCACTAAAAACTAAAATGTAGAAGTATAGCTAATAAACCAATAGCAGGAAGTGGGGGGGGAATGAACAGAGAACAGATGGGAAGAATACAGAAAAAACAGCAAAGGACAGACAGGCAAGTTGGGGAATTGTTAAGGAAAACAGCAGGCTGTTGAGATGCTATGCACCACAAGAGAAGAACAGCTATCTTTCAGATGGGCTTATAGTTGAAGAAAGCAATAATCAACTGAAGGAACAGGTAAGGATTAAAGAATCATCATGGAACAGAAATGGGAAGCTTTTGCTTTTTGAAATATTTGGACTCAAGATCCATCTCCCAACTTCTCAGAGTGTTAGGGGCTCCTGTTTGTGCCTACTCAGATTGATGCCCTTTCTTTCCTCCAGGAAGAGAAGTGTTATTTACAACTGTTGTGTTGTGGGCTCCTACGGAAATGTACTCTGACCTCTTACACAACATTTTTACTTAAGCCAGACCAAAGGAAAGAGTGGACATTGAGAGATCAAATGGCTGCCTTCCACTCTGTTCCCTTTAAAAATCAATACTTATTTTTTTCTTCTTAAGGAAGCTGCATCTGACTTTATGGAATTTGGCAGAGTTAAGCATCCTGTGCTAGTTATTTTGATATTTAAATATGAGTAAGATTGGTAAATGGCAACTAAAATGGAACCATTTGAGTAAGAATGGAAAACAGTGAAACAGAACCATATACGTTTTGTTAGATTTTTTGTAGAGCATTTTATCCACCTACTCCAACGTAGTAATGCAGATGAAAACATGAAGTTATGTGATCAGACACAATTTTGCTGTTCAAACATTTGTGGAGCTTTTCTATATAATTTCTTATTTTGAAGTGTTAAATCTGATAAAATTCCTTTATAATAGTGTTATATGGGGTCCAAATTAACATTCACCCTACAGATAAATTCTGATATGACAGGATGGATCATAGAGAAATATGTGTAGTGGACATGCATCTGCAGTTATGTGCTGAAATTAATCTTTGGATTAAGTTTAGAAAAGTGGAAGATTAGATGCATACCTTTTCATTTATACCTCATCCTTAGAAATGGGCCCATTCCCAGGCCAAATCCAAGATTATGTCTTAGAAATTTGTGCCCATATGAAGCATGCTTAAGAAGACAGTCCTTGCCATGAAGGCTGTTGACAGAATAACCTGAGCATGTCCAAGGCAGGTGTCTGGGCTTCTAATGTCATGGGAGACTATGTGCTCCCCGAATAAAATAAATTGTTTGATAATGCAATGGAATGACTTGTTAAAGAATTCAGTAATAAAAGTACCTTTCATGATTACAAGCTATATTGAATTATTTCACAAATATTCGCTTAGTTTATCACATGTGTAATTGTTGACAAGTTTTGGATAAGGAAATGAAGTTAACAGAGGCAAGCGACTTGTCTAGGAGCTCATGCTGACTGAGCACCAGCACGTAACAATCAATCGATATATTTTGCTAACTGGACTAATAATGTAGTGTAGCAGTTATTTCATTTCCTGCTTGAATTCTCACAAAATGTATACATAAAGGCAATCATGTCTGCCATAATATATGACAGCGTTAAAAAGAAGAAAAGCACAACAGAGATGTCACTTTTAGAAAACTTCTCTAGGACCTGGGTAGCCTTTTGAAGGGTACCTTTGAAAGCATAGCCTATGCAGGGGAACTGTCCCTGGTGCTGAACCTGCCATAAAGCAAGTAGGTCAAAGAACGGCCTTCACCAATTTTTTGTACATATTTTTTTCTGGGTTCCTATTACCAATGACAATACTATTTTTTTAAAGATTTTACTTATTTGAGAAAGCGAGAGCGAACGGGAGAGAGAGAGCATGAGCTGGGGGGAGAGGTAGATGGAGAGGGAGAGGCAGACTCCCTCCTG